TAGTGAATCTATAATCATACCTTAAATCACAAAGATCATTACATAACGATTTTAGAATGCATAGCAATATTTCGATCTATGATCGGATCTTATATTATTTATTACCAAGTGCTAATTTATATTGAATTTTCTACGTTCTAATGGTGATCAAGCGTCAAAACAGAATTAAGAGAATGATAAACAATCAACTCAAAACGCAAAAATATTGTACTACCCCGTCTTGGTCGCAAGAATCGCCAACCGATGAAGAAATCTTCTTGGCTTGTTCTTTATGAATCTCTAATGTGTGGTAGTAAAAAAATGTGAACCTTGTGTGTTTGAGCCATATTATTTTGGAAGAATGTATTTTGGAATAGTAGATTGATGGAGAATGTGAGGTTGAAAAAGAAGGAAAAATTATTGATGTGATAAAAAATATTATTTTATTAAAGAATGTGTGGTTGAAAATGAGTAGAATAATGATAATGAAAATTTTAATGTGGTTCAAACATGGTCAAAATTNTTATTTAAGTTTAAAATGTCGAGACGTGACAATTTATTTAGACATTACTCATTTATGGTGTGTTTGAGCCACATTATTTTGGAAGAATGTATTTTGGAATAGTAGATTGATGGAGAATGTGAGGTTGAAAAAGAAGGAAAAATTATTGATGTGATAAAAAATATTATTTTATTAAAGAATGTGTGGTTGAAAATGAGTAGAATAATGATAATGAAAATTTTAATGTGGTTCAAACATGGTCAAAATTGCCATTGTTTTGGGCTTCAGTTTGAAGCCCAAAAATACTCCAGCCCCTAAATACTTATTTTGGCCCACGTGGCCCAAAACATGACCCTTTATAATTCAACTTTAAATTGCACATCCGGTCTTTAAGCATTCCGCTTATTCAATCTTGGTCCTTCAGCTATTATCTTCATCAACTTTGATCCTTGTTTTATTACTTCCAAGTTGTCCGTTGAAGTTTAAATAAAATTCAATTTGGTCCCCAAAAGTCTTCTTTTGTCCATTACCCGTCACCTAACTTTCTAAAAGTTGAATTTTATCCCCAAAACTTGTGACTTCTTCCAATTAGCACTTCCAAGGCCTCCAATCAAGTCCAAAACTTCCAATAGCCTTCGTATTCATTTATTTTGCTCCAATTCACCTCTTCTTTGCTTGTCTCAACTCCAGGTTGGGGTCTTTACCTATAAAAACAATATATATCCAAAATAAATAGAATATTCACTCAATTAATCCAAATTATACAAGTTTAAAAGCCTAAATAAGCGTGTAAAAATATTTATCAGACACTCTCAAACTTACACCTTTGTTAGTCCCAAGCGAATTATCTACTCATCTGCTATAGCATTATGAGAAAAGTAACGACTCACTTCATTAGATAGTTTGCCTCAGGTTTGAAACTGCTAAGAACATCTTCAATAGATTTCTTAAACATGAGATGCTCTCTATTTTAAAGAGTCAATATTTAAAATTATGCTTCAAGTGACTCTTTAAATTAACATTTTAATTTAGAGAGTGGGTTTGACTTTCCAAATTTAGAGAGTTAAACTCACTCTCTATAATGAAATGCATTCAAAGTGTTTCGATGTTCAATATAGGAAAACAATAAAATAATCTAGGAAAAGTTAGTTAAAATAAAAGATAAAGAGAAAAAAATATTTTTTGGGAGTAGTGAAATTAAGCCCTTGTTTGGCCCCCATTAAATTACATTACATTACATTACATTAAATTTTTCTCTCTCCTCATTTCAACCACACATTCATCAAATAAAATAATATTACATACAAATTCAAAAAAATTTCAACCACACATTCTCCCATCAATCACTATTCTAAAAATTTTCAACCCTCAAAAAATGCAAAATAATGGGGGCCAAATAGGGGCTAAGTGTTAAATACAAAAAGATTGTTGGAATATTTTAAAATTTTAACTCTTTAAATTTAGAGATGCTCTCTAAATGATAGAATATGCTCTTTAAAATTAGAGAGTCCATTGGAAATGCTCTAAATCAATTTATAACATGTTTCCAAACATTATCACTAAAATAATATTATAACTAATCTGATGTTTGAATACGAGAAATACCATTAACGTCTATGTGGATAATGTCATCGACTATGAATTTTGTCTCGCTTGTTGATTTGAATGCTAAGAAAATGAGAAAATCGATATGCTTGTGTATGGACATGAATATCGTGTTGATTGCTTAAAAATAAGTGGTTGTCTTGAAACACTGCTTCCTACAATTGCTAAGCCAAAACATTATCGAGATAGCAAGATAATACTGGAAAGTAATTTTTCACCGAGGTTCAGATGGGAAAATGTATGCATCATTTATTCATGTAAATTTATTATTAATTTTTTTAGGAGGAATAGTAGTTGATTTTTTAGGAGGTCGGCCTCGTATTTTAAAACTCATTTTTTCTTAATTTTTTAAACTACACATTTTATGGAATCCACAATTTTTATCAACTTTTTAATTATACATTTTATCAATTTCTACCAAAACTTATTACAAGTATAGTTTTTAGCCAAACCAAATGGGGGCGAAATGTGACGAAGATAAATGGCTAAAAGTTATAAAAGTGTAATTGAAAATTA